AGCTGCTCCATCACCTTTCCAGGGACAGAGGTGAGGCTGACTGGCCTATAATTGCCTGGATCTTCCTTCTTACCCTTTTTGAAGACCGGAGTGACATTGTCTATCCTCCAGTCCTCAGGCACCTCCCCCGTTCTCCAAGACCTCTCAGAGATGACAGAGAGCGGTTCAGCAATCACCTCTGCCAGTTCCCTCAGCACCCATGGATGCATCCCATTGGGTCCCATGGATTTATGAACATTGGTGTTGCCCAGGCGCTCTCGGACCACCTCTTCCCTGACTAAAGGGAAGTCTTCCATTACCCAGACCGTTTCACGAACCTCCAGGGTCTCGGATTCCCGAGGGGGAGCTTTTTCACTGAAGACAGAAGCAAAGAAGGCGTTCAGTATCTCCGCCTTCTCAGCATCCCCCATTACCAGAACACCCCCGTCACTAATCAGGGGAGGCTGAAGCTGGTGAAGGCTTTGAGGAGGACGTGGTGTTTCCACTACTGGCTCATGCCCCCCATGGGTCATGCCTGGGGTTGATGGTACATCTCAGATCACATTACTGTCTGTACTAAAGACCTCCTGCTTTAGTCTTGCTTTAGGGTGCTACAGTGATAGTAACTCAGGCCATTTATCATGGAATTTCCAAATCTTGTCTTGGTGAGTTCAGCCTCTAAAGGGAAAGAAACAAACAACAAAACCGAATCAACAAAAAAGGCATTTTTCTGAACTAAGAAAAAGCACAAATATCCCAAACTGTCATTTTCCATAGTTCATAAATCTTGAAAAATTCTGCTCTGGACCCTGTATCTCCTGAGAGGTCCCTGTTCCGTAGCCAACAATGAAGCTGATTGAAAACCTGGGGCTGTTGGGTCCTTTCCGGACCAGGAGAGCAGTGCAGATGGGCAGTGCTGCCATGAGCACACATCCAGCTTGACATGGACCCCAGAGTCTGAAAGTGGAAGTGTGGACAAGCTGCAAACAGCTGTTTCAGAGTGCTTTTGGGGGGTGCAGCTAACGCAGGCACTCACCGGGTCACTTCTGCATTCAGAAGTCTATTTTAAGACTACAATTAAGTCAAACAGGACAAAATGAATGCTTCTCAAGAGGAGGTTAATAAACCTGGATTTCTTATCAGCTGTCATTTGTATGCAGAGCGCAACGGTGATGTCCAATCATCTGCTCTAAACAAGCTATGCAAGTACTTCATTGTTTCATAGCCAGGCTTCGTTTTAATTAGCTACTTTGAGCCACTTTTGTTAATGACAGAAGAACTCTGAAATAGAGCTCACCAGTGAAATTTCATTTATGCAACACAACTGAAAATTCAAGCCCACTCAGGCCAGCAGATTAAAAGTTATTGTCCCAACAGCATCTGTAATTTCTGTTAAGCAAGAGCGTTCTGCCCTGCTCAGAGGCAGTAGCTGAAGAAGTTGGAAAGGAGAGTCCCAGGAAAGGGAGGAGATGGGCAGAGCTTCTTTTTAGGGAAGTGCATTCAGCGTGGATTTCTGACATTGTGTCTGAAAGGAGCCGGACGGCCATGTCCTGGGCACTCTGCTCTGTGAGGTTGGGTTCTGCAGGAGGAGCATCCTCAGCTGTGTGACCTGCTGCTCCTGCAGTGTGTTTCTACATATAGGAGGCATCGAGCTCCCTCCTTGCTGGCATTCTCTTCTTTTCTCCCTGCCTCTTGGTTTTCTTTTCTTCCCCGTGCTCTTCTCATCTCCCCCTTCCCTGCTTGCGTTCACATTGCCAGTTTTTCTGTTCTCACATTCATTGCTGCCCTGTTTTGTCCTTCCACAGCCCAGCCAGGTCCCAGAGCCCGGCCCTGTGCTCTATGGGCCAGTGGAGAGCAGCCACCTCACCGCCAGCACCGCCAGCCCTGCCATCGCCCTGAAGCAAGGTTGGTCATTGAATATTTCCTCTGCTGTTATTTTTAGTCATTTTTCTCCTTTCTTGTTCGAGTTGGAATATTTTTGGCAGGGAGAGAAGCGGGGTGGCATTTAGCAGCAATAGAAGGGGAGGGGCCATCTATTCCTCCAGTGGAACATGGAACAATGTGTTGCTAAGGGAATTAATTGAAATTTGCCGTTGTGAAACTGTTTAACAAAAAATGGTGTTAAAGCTTATATGTCCTGAACATTATTCCAGAGCAGTGAGAAGTGAGAAGCTCCTCTCACCCACGTGCCGCCCTTCAGAAACAAATGTACATCAGGAAGGGGCTCTTAGCAGAGAGGCTTGGCATCGCTGCTGCCATTCATCAACCATAGCAGAGCATCCTAAGGATGCCCGGAGAGCTCTGGCCTTTGGGTGTGAGAGTAATAAGAAAAACTGTGATTGGGCCATGAGTATCAGAAGTGGCTCACCAAAAAGAAACCAGGGCACAGATGGAAAAGGTTTCCTGAAGTGATTATGTTTCATGCGCGTTTGAAGGCGGGTCTTCAGCTGTCTGTGTGGAGAGATGTAAGAGGAGGGGAGGTGCTGTGCACCAGGTCCTGCAGTGACACTTTAGGGCCATTAAAAACTTCAATGAGCAATGTGTATGATGCAGGGCTGGCACTGTGTGTAGCAGCACAGCTGGCACTGCTGTTGGCAGCCTTTGGAATCCTTGGACTTTCTCTACAAGACGAGCAGTCCATGCTCTGGGTTCACAGCTGTTGCAGCAGTCCCTGACTGTCAGGCTGTGCAGGTCGTGCAGGGATGCAGGCAGGCAGAGCTGTGGGCTGCAGCAGTTTGGGCAAGCACTGCTCAGTGCTGTCAGTGCCCCTGGCGTGTGCAGAGCACTGCAGTGTGCTCTGGTGAGCAGCAGCTCTGCCTCACAAATATCTGTGCTGGGACAAAGGGTGGAAAAATGGCAGTGAGCCCAGCGATTATTTTTGGATAAACAGCGTGGAGCTGGGATGGGTTCCCATGTCCAGCTGGATCTCACCCAGCACCCCACAGCCTCCCCTGGGCACACTGAGGGAAGGTAAGCGGGCTGAGTCAGCGTGCATGAATGGCTCCCGTGCTGTTGTTCGGCCTTCCCAGCCCTGTGTTGGTCCTTGTCTCTGTGGTCGCTCACAGATGGGAATCCTCACCAGGACTTAGAGATTTGGTCTCCAAGGAAAGATGTGCTTCTCCTTGGCCAGGTTTGCTCCTGGCTCTGAAATCCCCATCTGGTTCCTTCTCTCAGTGAATTCTGCACGCATAGTCCTCCCTGCATTAGGTGCAATCTGAAGGCTGTGTGTTTGGACCACTGCTTTCCAGATGCAGCTGTATGACTTTTGCTGTGTTTTTACCTCCCAGAATGTTTTTTCTGGGCTCTTCAAATGTTGGGTTTTTTTTGTTTTGTTTTGTTTTGTTTTTTTTTGAGCAGTCACATTTATCTCTGGGGAGAGAATACTCAGGCAATGTTTATAGAGAGCTGTAAATGTCAGGAATGCTCCATGAGTTCTCTGCAGCCACGTTCCAGAATCAGAGGTGACGCATTTTCTTCTCTAAACCAGTTCTGGATTGTTCCACAGAGCCTTCAGAATCCAAATCCAACCCTCCTGAGCCTTTGGACCACAAACACGTGGCAGCAGTAGTGCTGTTTGGTGGCAGCTGTGCTTCACCTGCTTTTGTTTCTGCTTTCTTTGGAAAAGATATCTCCTCTCGGCTGAAATATAGAACAAAAATGGAATTACGTCCTTCAGTCTGTTGTGCTGGGAGGTGCAGGAGCTTAGAACTAACAAGTCCAGAACAAGCTGAATGTGTCTCACATAGCAGTGATGATGCGATGCATGGCAGCCATAAAGCAGAGCCTGTCACCGGCTATGGGGCAGCATTCCCTGGCACTGCTGTCCAGAGCTGTGAGTGCCCCATCCCTGGAGGTGCCCCAGGCTGTGGATGGGCCCTGGGCAGCCTGAGCTGGTGGGGGCTGCCAGCCCATGGTAGGGATGGGGCTGGGTGGGCTTTAAGGCCCCTTCCAACCTCAGCCATCCCACGGCTGTGACATGATGCAGCGATGCTGGCGGGGAGCTCGCAGGTGGCTGGCTGCTCTTGGTGCCTGTTTGTCTGTCAGGAGCAGGAGCTGCCCAGCTCTCGGTGCTACAGCCCTATATTCCTCTGTGCCAGAACCCAACTCAGGTGTATTTTTGTCTTCTGTGGAGTTCCTGGAGCAGGGGAGCTGGAGCCGGGAGGGCAGCTACAGTGGGGAACGGTGTTCAGTTTGTAACATTGCCTTTTGTTTTCCTTTCCCAGAAGAGAAGCCAAAACCAGACCCAGTATTAAAGCCGTCTTCTCCCATGCTCCGGGCAGAGCCCGCAGCAGAGAAGCAGGACCCGGCCATGCCGGTGGCTGAGCCCACCCCCCCGCACACCCCGCCGGCCCCCACTGCGGCCCCATCGCCGCCCCCCGCCCCACTCACAGCTGCTGCCACCGCCACTCCTGCTAAACCCTCATCCACCACCGACCCCGAGGAGAGATGTGAAGTCGCTTCCCCCAAGGAGGAGGCGATGCCTCTCCCCAGCCTGGACACGTCGGACCCTGTGCCCACAGAGGAGCCCCGTGGCGAGGCGTGCCAGGAGGCGGGCAGCACTGCAGCACCCGGTGATGCTCCGGTGACTGTTAGCACAAACACGATAAACGAATTGAACGGAGTGAGTGAGGGCATCGCTGCCACAGAGAGTGGGGCCGACGTGGCTGCAGGGGATGCCGTGCCGCTCACTGCTGACCCACAGGAACCAGGGGCAGCTCCCGGGGACCTGGGCTCCGTGCCCCCCCCCAGCACACCCCGTGCAGCCCCATCCCCGCCACCTGCCCCAGCTCCCAGCCCTCCTCCTACTCCTGTTGCTCTGAGCACTACAGCCCCTTCCCCACCACCGCCTCTGCCTCCCAGTGCCCCCCCTGCTCAGGGAGATGTGGAGGGAGAGGAAGGCACAAGGACTGCTCCTAGTGAAGAGCTGACAGATAGTGAGAAGAAGGAAGAGATGGAGGCAGATGGGCAACCGGAGGAGAGCATGGAGGCTCTGAGCTTGAGCTCTAGCAAGAGTCCTGTCCCAGGTAAGTGCTTGGTGGCACAGGGCATGTGGCAGAGCCATAGGAAGGGCTCTTCGGGGCTGTTCTGTTAGGTGTTCCCATTTGTATCTGTCCCTGGGAAGTCTGATTCTTCGTCATGGCCTTTGCTTCGATCGCAAAATGCTAAGCTTTGTTTGCTACTACAGAACATCCCTGGGTAATTGTTCATAAAAGTGGTAGCCAGCTTTGCACGCGCGTCCTGGGGTTGGCATCTGTTAGCCAAGATGTGGGCTTTCACAACTGAGAAAGGAGAATTTCTCAAGTCATGTAAAGCGTCCATGAAACTCTGAGGTTGGGGCTTCAGGGAAGGTGAAACTCTCCCAGGTCGGGGTTTGTACTCTGCCCATCCTGTCAGCACAGTGCTGGTGGTCAGGTGGAAGTGGTAAAGAAAGGAAGACACTTTGCCACAGCATTTGCTGGAAACCAAGGGCTTGAGCAGCAAATCCATCTGCTGTAAACTTCAGTCACAAAATCAGTTCTGTTTACACTGTTAAATAGGCATGTGTGCTTGTGTCAGAATTTAAGCTGGTAGCACTGGCAACAAATTACGAGCATGCTGGATTAATGGTTTTGTATCTTAATATACTGCATGGTTTCTTTTACCCTTTCGGGGAGAAAGGTGATTAGAGTAAATCACTGCAGATCCTAGAAATATTATATAGTATTTTCTTTGAACCAGTTGTCCAGGGAAATTAATGAGCAGTGGAGCTGTTAACCTGTTTTAAAATCAAAATACAAACCCAGCTCGCGAGAATTGGGCTGCTGGAGTGGGAGGTGCCCTGCTGTGGTGCTGCCATGGTTGGCCTGTGAGGGTTGTGGATTGGGTGGTGGTTACCTGTTATGATGCACCTGCTGAGAAATGCCTCACCAGGACATCACCTCCCAAAACTCTCTGGTTTCTGAGGTTCTCTTTTGCCCTGCACGATCCTTGCAGTGCTGATAATAAACTCCTAGCTGTCAGAAGGGCCATTTGGAGCTCCAACGAGCAGTTGTGGAACAATTATCTTGTTTTAATGTCGCTTGGATGATTTTATTAGTACAAAACCTCTGCGAGGCTGCGGCTGCTCCACTGCCCTGCATGGTTAACACCGTTGTGCAGGAGGGAAACACGTTGGTCATGTTCTAATAGATGCACACTTGTCTTGCAGCCTCAACTGCTGTAACTGCACCAAAGACGTGGAAGAAACCAAAAGAGCGGACCCAGGGCACTGAGGAGGTGACAGAGGCAGAGGTGAGGGAACGCAGCGCTCCTTTTTCTGTATTCACTGATGATGTTGCTGTCTTCAGAGGGTATTTCAGACATGCTGCTTCCTGTATCTTGCAAGGATCCAAGGTGGACTTTTTGGGGAACATTTCTCAAACCTGTGATATTCCCCAGCATCTTTTAGAGCAGTGGCTTTTGGCTGTCCCTGGGCCTTGAAGCTCCAGGTTTTCTTCATTCTTGCCTTATTGAACACTCCTAGCATTTGAGAATGTGGAGTCTTTAATGCTGTCCCAAGGGGAAATGGGTTTGAACCCTTTAAAAGTGCACCATTTGGGGGTCCCAGGGCCACTCTGGTGGCATTTGGGACATTCTTTTGCTGCACAGTGATGTCATTGTGATGTCATGACCAGAGAATGACTATCTGATGGAGGAGCTGGGAAGGAAAAAAGCTGACATCTGCGCAAAACCGTCTCACCTGCAGTTAGACAAATTGGGAGTGTCACCTTTGCTGCCATTCTGGTAGGGATGGTGCAGGGAGAGCCTCTTTCTTAAATGTCCTGGGTAAAACAGGCAATAGAACTTACAGAGAAGGTGAGGGAACTGTAACCATTCAGAACACACACTGTGCTGGTGTGCGTATGAAGAGTGGCACTGGCTGAGCAATCCCTGCAGGTTCTCTCTGCACATTCTCCTGTCAGTGCTGGAGAAGTCCCATCTTTGCACCCTTTGGTATTTTCACCAGTGCTAAAATAGAACATCATACCATTTTAACTTGCAAACCTGCAGAAAGTGAGAAAGGATGCGGTGCCTGTAGGTTGGGAGGAAAGAGAATCAAGAGCCTCTCCTGGAGCACCTCACCTCCTTCTGCCTTGTGTTTAATGGCTGCGGTGTCCATGTGTGAATTCAGAATAAGGCTGTATCCTCAGAACTCTAAAATTAACTGCAGGAGTGTCAGTAAACTGTGTGGTCAGCACATGTGTTGGTATGGATCTGCACAGCATGTGCAGGAAGGGTTAGTAGAAGAAGCACACACACAGCTGTTAAACTGCGTGGGTGAACAGGGAGTCATCTGCAGGTGTTGGGCTCTGCAGGGGTTCTGACATCTGTGTTTGTGTCTGCTTCAGCCTAAAGTAGAAGAGGAGCTCTCAAGTGACAAAGTACTTGAATCTGAACAGGATAACATGAGCCATGGGTTTCAGCTGGAGAGAGACCCCTCCGAACTTAAAGAAGTAAAACCTGTGGAAGAGAACGGAGAGCAGGAGGCAGAGCCTGTCCATAATGGTGCTGAGAGCATGTCGGAGGGAGAGGGGACTGACGTGACCTTGGGCTGCACAGAGGGCTCTGCTGAAGGGCCTGCGCTGCAGTACAAGCCAGGTAAGCTCGCTCCGGGCTGCTGCAGGCTTGCTTGTCTTCTGCTGGAATTCACAAACCAGTGGGTTCAGAGAAGCTGCACATAAGCAGACACGGTTTTTAAGTGCTGTGAAAGTCCTGACTGGGTGCTACAAAGGAGTGTGTGTGTGTGTACGTAGATTTAGTTACCTGACCTAACAAGAATTGTAAGGAGAAGGAAAGAAGCAGTGCTTGATCATCAGCCCAAGCTCTGCTGCTGAGCTATGGCTGTGCAGTTTTTCTGATTAAAATACGTAGTGTGGGCTCAGAGGGCAGTGGTGAGTGCCCCATTCCTGGAGGTGGCCAAGGCTGTGGATGGGCCCTGGGCTGCCTGAGCTGGTGGGGCAACCAGCCCACAGCAGGGGGCAGGGATGGATCACCTCTGAGGTCCCTTCTAACCCAGAGCCATTCTGTGAGTGTGACACTGTGCTCTTGTTGCTAGTCAGCACTGGGTACAGTCTGCGTGGGGGCATTATTCATTGAGATCACTCATAGGCCTGACCCTCTGGAAGTTCACCCTATTAAGAGAGACCTTGAGACCATCTCACTTTGCAGTTACTACCAATTCTTAAGTTACTTCTTATTCAAGTGGAGCTTCCTCAAAATAAATGAAGTCAACTGTGTGAAACAAATTAAGGAAAGACCTTGAGAGGAGATCTGCTTGAGGAGAGGCTCCTGCAAGGATCAGGGTGCTGAGAACCCAAAACCACTGATCAAGGACTGAAATAAAGAAATAAGACAAAGCTTTAACAGCAGATCTGAATGGACAGGTATATAATCAAAGAATGTTAAGATAGTGTATAATCAAGGAAAATTGTATAAAGGAATATTGTATAATCAAAGAATATTAAGATGTTATAATAATGAAATAAACAAGAGAGCTAGGCAAAGAGAATAGATAGGATGCTTACTCGTATTGTGGGCTCACTCAGGAAACTCCAGTGGAGTGGATCTTCAGAAGAGAGATCCTTCCCCACTGGTAGTGAGCTCTTAAATGGGTGCAGGAGAGGTGGAGCCAGGCTCCACCCCTTCCTGCAGCACAGGTGAATTGCTTTC